TCAGAGGGTCAGCTGGATGGAGAGCTGAGGATCAGAGAGAGAATGCAGTGTCCATGATGGGCTCGGGGGCTCAGGGGAGGAGCCGGGGGGCTCAGAAGGGGGACTGGGCTGGTCTGTGGACCTGGGCTCTGAGTAGTTGTCAGGAGCAGAGGAGGCCAAACCAAGGCCTAGGGGCTGGGTGGGGGGAGGGGGGAGCAGAGGCTGGTCAAGGCAAGGACTGACCACCACGGCAGAAATGTCCCACATGCCTTTCAACTCTAATGCCCGCTCGGACCCAGCTTGGTCCCCAGCTGTAGTTGCGGGAGGTCCCCAGCCCCCACCGGGCCCTCTGCACGGAACGGGTTCTATGTGAGGCCCCCTCTCGTCGGTCCAGCCTGTGTCACTCCGGAGGGGTCTGCGTCCCCAGCGTGTGCTCCCTCCATGTGGTCTGTGGGTGTCGGCCCAGTCGGTCCTCCACACCGGCAGCTACACGACTCCAGTGCCCCTGTGACCTCACTGGGGGCCGTGTTTGGCCAACTCCTACAGAGCGATGAGGCTGGACAGACGAGCGTGTCCTCACACACACGGCCTTTCTCTGAGCAGCCAGGCTGCATGCGCTCCACGCGGGAAGTGAGCAGGGAGGGCGGGCCCAGCACCCGTCCCGGCAGGCCTGCAGGCCGTGTGTCCTCACTGGACACTCATGGGGGCTGGGCAGCCACACAGGCCGACGGCAGCAGGTGGGGCGGCGGCTGACCCGGGGCCCGGCTCACCACACGTTGCTGGCCTTGGTCTGGTCCACCACCAGCAGGTTGCTGTGCACCTCATCCACCAGCTCCGGGGCGATCCAGCGCAGCGGCACCCACAGCTGGTCGGCGGTCACGAAATAGTCCTCCTGTGGCACGTGGGACGGCGTCACCCGCCAGGGCCCAGGCCGCCCACCCTGCCCCTCCGGCCCGCCCAGCCCACTCACTCGATATTTGCCGTGAGACAGGCCGTAGTCACCGATCTTCACCGTCAGGTCGGCCGTGAGCAGGCAGTTCCTCAGGGCCAGATCACTGAGGGGCGGGAGGGTGCGGTCAGCCAGTGACCCGGCTGGTGGCGCCCGGGGCACCGGGCGGCCAGACCACTTGTCACCAGGCTCGGCTCGGTGGGTGGGCAGGAAAGGGCATTAGAGAGGCTGCCCACCACCCTCTGCCCAGAGCTCAAGCCTGTCGCCCAGCACTGAGCACTTGGGGGGGCCCACGTGGACAGGGCCTGAAACAGCACACCGCGGAGGAGGGAAGCGAGGCCCAGAGGGGTGCAGAACATGCCGGGGGCCCTCGGCAGAGGCGGGGCCCCGCCGTCGCTAGAACCCCTGACCCTGAGCCCCGGCCACTCCCTCAGTTCTGCTCATACCCACCCCTCGGGGGCTGGCCAGCCCGGGGACCCTGCTGACTCTCCTCCCAAGCACGGCCCCAGGAGGGAGGCATAAGGGGAAACAGGTCCCTAGCATCCCAGGGGGTCCCGCCCTGCCCGCACGGGTCCCCGGGGGCAGGGACGGGCCATGGAGTGTCTGTCTCCAGCAGTGTGGTGACCCCCACCCCACCTCCGACCCACTGCGGATCTTGGCTGCTGGCTTCTCCCCTGCCTGCCTGGCGGGTGTCTGGGCAGCAGGACCATCGTGGGGTCGGGGGCCACAGACGAGCCTGCGCCCGTGGGCATGTGGCGCTGGGGGCTGGGTGGGCGCGGCGGGCGGATCGGGAGGCTGGCAGCTGCCCTCTTCAACAAAATCACTGATGCTGGAGTTGCGTGTGTCATCACTCAGCACCAGGATGTTGTTGGGGAGGACGGCCCGTGAGGCGTCCGTGGCTGGCGGGGCCACGTCCATGGCCACTTCTTCAGGCACATTCCCCTACACCGGGCACCCGGGCCCGTCCTTCCGGCTCCAGGGGCCGGGGTGGGAAACAGAACAGCGCTGTCCCTCCCCTCCCCCGCCTGAGGCGGGCAGGAGAGCAGGCTGGCGTGGAGCCAGGGGGGGCAGGGCGGGGCGAGGGGGTGCTAAGCGCCTCTGGGACAGGACAGGCCTCGGGCCCTACCGTGTGCCCGCCCAGGCCAGCTTGGACAGAAGACGGTCACTTCACTTAACCGTCCTGCAGAGGAGGGTCCGACCCCCACCTGCCCGTTTTCCACTTAATAAAATGCCTTTACACAGTGGTCCCTACAGGGGACCAGCCCCGCAGAGAGCTGGGGGCGCAGGGCTCCCGGCCCCGGCCTCACCTGTCGCCCTCACCTGTGCACATAGTTGTTGCGGTGCAGATGCAGGACGCCGCAGGACACCTCGCAGGCCATGCGCTGCAGGGTGACGGGGTCGGGCGCCAGGGGCTCCGCCGCCCGGCAGCTCCGAAGGTAGCCCTTGAGGTCCCCCTGCCGACAGGGGCAGCAGCGTCACCTGCCGGTGGGAAGTGGGCGCCGTGCGGACCCACCACCCGGCCCTCTCCCCCTCCCTGGGGTGAACTGGGCGTCTTGCCAACAGGCACCCCGCAGGGCTGCTGCATCACCCCCCGGGGGCTGGCTCTGCAGGGTGACCAGCAGGCAGGGGCGCTGTCTCCACACCGCCCACAGACCCAGGCAGCCCCATGGGGCAAGTGACCAAAGAGTCAGGGCCAGCTCCCTGGCCTGCACGTGGGAGCTGACAGTGCCCAGCTCTAAGGGGAGCCCAGCTGTCCTGGGGACGCCCCAAGGCCAGGGCTGAGGCCAGGAAGCAGACTCGGGACCTGTGTGCTCCAGGGACCCGTGTGTGGTGCGGGCAAGCGGCTCGGCTCCGGGTTGGAGCTGTGTGTGCAGGAAGGGGCCCTGGAGACGGGGCAGGCACAGTGGCCTCCGGGAGATGGTGGGGCACAGGCCCCCCCAGACCTCACTTTAGGCAGGAATGTGAGGCCCACAGAACGGGGACGAGGGGTGCCTGGCCCAGCAAAGTCCTCTCGGCCTGGAGGCTGGGCCCAAACTCCCGCCTCGCACAGAAGCTCGGGGCAAACGGAGGGCCAGGCAGCAGGTGACTCACCATGGGGCAGGACTCCATGACCAGCAGGTAGGGCGTCACCTCGGCACACTGGGCCAGGCACTGGAGCAGGTTGCCGTGCTGTAGGGCCCTGTAGGAGCCAACAGGCCGCCCGACTCACACGTGGGGCAGCAGGGTCGGGTGGGCCTGAAGGGTCTGGGAGGGAGGGGCAGCACCGAGCTCGCCTTGGACCACAGGGCCCCCTGTCCAGCACGGCCCCCACCTCCTCCAGCCCGCCTGCCCCGGTGCCACCCACCTGTAGGGCTGCGCCTCCTCCAGGAACCGCATCTGCTCGTGCACGCTGGCGCTGGCCTTCAGCTCCTTGACCACCACCTGGGTACTGCCGATGCCCGAGTTCACCTCCCCCAGGAACACCTGCAGGGGCGGGGCACACGTCAGCACCCCACACGTCAGCACCCCCCAGCCCCGGCAGGCTCTGCTTTCCCTGTGTCTCGCTCTGCTCCTGAGCAGAGTGGGTTCCAGACCCCTCCCGGGGGAACCCCGCGCCCCGCCCCAGCTGTCATATTCTGTCTTTTACTGTTCCGGGCACTCTCTGGGGTCCACAGTGAGGGGGGACCCAGCTGTCCCGCCCAGGCCGGGGGTCAGGGAGAAGCCAGGACAACATGCTGCTCCCTCCTGCTCCCGCCCCCAGCCCTCTCCCCAGCGCTGGATCCCAGGCTGCAGACCCCATGGTCCCCAGAAAGGGGCCCAGCAGGGTGGGGACATGGAGAGGGGACCCCCGGGCTGGGTCAGTTCCCAGGAGAAGCAGGTCTCTATCTGCCCCTCTACCTCCCAGGCAAGAGAGGGGCCTACGAAGCCAGCCCCGCCCCCAGGCGCCGAAACTCACCTTCCCGAACCAGCCGCGGCCGATCTCCTCCAGGTACAGGAGGCTGTGCCGGCCCAGGTCTGCGGACTTGAGCAGCTGCACTGTAACAGGGCGCTGGGCTCAGGGACCACAGCCCAGCCTCCGCCATCGCCCCCACACCCCCTCATCAGGCCCCTCGAGGGACTGCCCACTTGGCCTCCTCTGGGGAGCTGCACTGAGCCCCGTAGAGGTGAGGCCACACCTGTGGGCCGCCATCAGGAACAGGGTGCCTGCCACCCAAAGGCACTGTGGACCTGCAAGTTCACCCAGGCATCTTTCTGGGAGGGTCTGTCCCAAGCTACAGGGACAAGTCAGGCTGGAGACTGCGGGGCCTGGAGCTGGACCGTGCGGTGTGGCTGGGGCTGAGCCACGGGGAGGAGGCCACCGGAGCAGCCCGTCCCCTCACCCCTGCCGCAGGCTGGCATTCCAGCGCCAGGCACGCCAAAGGCTCCTTTGTTAGGGGCTGCTTGGCACAGTCCGCACGGGACACACTGGGCTCATTCTCCCTGGGGCCAGCTGGTGAGGTCAGCAGGGGGAGAGCCAGGGCGTCGGAGCCCACTCACCCTTCTTGTGCCCGAGGGATTCCCCGAATTCTGCTCCCACGCCAGTGCCCAGAGGGCACAGGGCATGTCGACTTCGATTCTGAGCAGAATCTAGGCGGGGGTCTCACTGGGCCCTGACTCCTGGGGCTCCTCCCTCGGGCTTCAGCCTGCTGGCCCCCTCTCCAGCCTGGGGTCTCCCAGAGCAGTCTCGGTGGTCCCGATGGTGGACACCCGACTGGGATGGAGGTGGGAACATGCCAACGGCCAGCCCAACAGACAGTCTTCCTGTCTGCGGGAGGCAGGGGGCTGGCGCGGGGGCTGCTGGGACTGCCCGAGGACAGCGGGCCTGGCTGTGCCATCCTCCCCACAGTCTGCAGGGGTGGCACCCAATGCCCAGGTCCCTCACCCTCGACCTGCAGGTGGGCTGCCCTCCCAGCTTCACCCCCAATCTCTCCCTCTCCCTGGAAGCAAAGGGACCCTGCGGAAAACTGAGGCCAGAGCTGCAAAACTGGGGAGAACAGGCAGTCGCTCCCCTGGGTTCGTCCCTCAGCCTGGGGACAGCTCCCCAGGGGCGGGAGAAGCTGGGTGTCACGTAAGCCCTGACGTGTTTCTCTGAGGGTATTTGGTTTCATTTCTTGGTAATGCAAGTGCCTGACGAGCTCTGATTGCCCAGGTGTCCACTTCAAGGACAGGTACCTCAAACAAGCACGCGGCTGCAGCCCCGAAATCAGATAGGGAGCCTGCCCCGCCCCCACCGGGGCCCCTGTGTTCTTGGTTAATTTCAATAACTGACCATTTGGGTCACTTGGGTTCTTTTTTCTTTCCTGAGCTTTGAATTCTCATTCTTGTGTTTTAAATTCACCATTAAGGGGTGAGCCCCCACCCTCCACCCCAGTAAAGGCAGCACCCCAGGCCCTAGAGCTCCGTCTCCGTCCACGACCTCCCCACGTGGCCTGGGCACGCGGTGCAGTTCCCAGGGCCTGCGGTCACGTGATACACCAGCCTCTCTTCAGGTGGCCTGGTGGGTCTCGCTGAAGGGGCCCTGTCATCACAGTGAGACCGGACCAGTCGCGGGGCTGGTCCAGAAAGGGGAGGTGTCCGGGGAGGCGCGCAGGCATTTCCAGCCGGAGCCTTACTGTCCCCACACTGCGGCTGGCCTGAAACCCTGGGTCTCAAAGGCTCTTCGGGGTCCCAGGCACACACTCCTCCCTGGGGTGTGACAGGCCCAGGCCTGGGGCAGTGTCCCCTGGCTCCCCATCAGCTCCCAGTGTCCAGCAGTGCTAGGACAGTCCCAGAGACCCCCACGGCCACTCAGGAAGGTCAGAGAGCCTGCCGTCAGGGTTTTGTGGGGTCTTCTAGGCCAGTCCACAGATGTGCACAGGCCTTCGAACCCCGGCCCTGATTCCTGCCAAGCTGGTGACATGGAGATGCCAGCAGGGGGTTGGGGGGTGGTGACACCTATAGAGCCCCAAGTGCTGGAGTTGGCAGCTGATGGCCCCCTACGTCTACTCTGGGGCGCAGACGAGCGCCTTGGGGCCCCCGCCCCTGAGGAAGGTGAGGCCCCTGGGGGCGGGGGCAACGTCTGGTCGGGGCCCCGCGGGGCCCGGAGCAGAAGCAGGTGGGCGAGCTCTTGCTCTCCGCCCCGGTAACTGGCCTTGGTGGCAGCAGAGCCCCGCAGGGCCTGACACCCCCCTCAGTGCTCCCGCAGGAGCAGGGGTGGCACGGGCTTTGCCTAGGAGTGAGGGACCCTGAGGCCAGCCTGCCATGGAGGTGGGGGTGCCTGCAGCACTGGCTCGAAGCCCAGCTAGGCCACTGACCCGTAACCGCTGGAGCTCGGGCCCCACCTCTGCCCCGTGGGTGGCCAGCATGGTGGGGGGACCCTGGGATGGGGGTGACCGGGAGACACGTCAAGGAAGCCACAGGAAGAGGCCCTGCCTGCACCTGCCAGCACTGGGTCAGACCCGGTCCGCCTGCCCCTGAACCCCAGCCTCATGAAAGGCCCATTCACGGCCGCCCACAGGGGGAGCCCCAAGAGCCCCCCTCACAAGTGCAAGGCCCTGCCCACTGGCACAATGGGGCCCATGTCCCCTTGTGTCCAGCCCACACCAAGGCGAGGTTTGGGGTCAGGCATCTCGGGGGCAGCAGAGAAGCCCCGCCTCCCAGCACATGGCTGGCCTATCCCAGACCAGGGCTGTCTCCAAGCCCGCTCACAGCACCCCAGATCCTAGCAGAGGGGGGGGTCACGCACCGGCCCCCCCACACCAGGTCCCGGCAGCACTGGCTGCCGAGCCCCAAGCCACAAGGCCCACCACCTGTGCCCCGGGGCTGCTCACCTGAGCGCCCGGGCTGCCTGGCCATGGGCAGGGAGACCTCCGTGAGCGGCAGGACG